TACTTATAATACTTAAAACAGGAGTAGTGCCTGGCTGACTTATATAATCTAAAAACAGGAGTAGTGCCTGGCTGACTTACTTATAATATTAAAACAGAATAGTGCCTGGCTGACTTACTATAATACTTAAAACAGGGTAGTGCCCGGCTGACTTACTTATAATACTTAAAACAGGAGTAGTGCCTGGCGACTTACTTATAATACTTAAAACAGGTGGTACTAGCTCTTACTTATAATACTGAAAACAGGATAGTGCCTGGCTGACTTACTTATAATACTTAAACAGGAGTAGTGCCTGGACGACTTACTTATAATACTTAAAACAGGTAGTACCTGGCTAACTTACTTATAATACTTAAAACAGGTGTAGTGCCTGGCTGACTTACTTATAATACTTAAAACAGGAGTAGTCCTGGCTGACTTACTTATAATACTTAAAACAGAGTGCCTATTTACTTATAATACTTAAAACAGGGGTAGTGCCTGGCTGACTTACTTATAATACTTAAAACAGTAGTAGTGCCTGGTTGACTTTATAATACTTAAAACAGGGGTAGTGCCTGGCTGACTTACTTATAATACTTAAAATAGATGCCTGGCTGACTTACTTATAATACAAAACAGGGTAGTGCCTGGCTGACTTACTTATAATACAAAACAGGGGTAGTGCCTGGCTGACTTACTTATAATACTTAAAACAGGGGTAGTGCCTGGCTGACTTATATAATTTAAAACAGGAGTAGTGCCTGGCTGACTTACTTATAATACTTAAAACAGGGGACCTTGACCTTCTGTTGTTCTTTCTGCGGCGTTAAAAATAGTTCATGTTTGTTTAATTCTGAAGGATGGAGAGGGAGGAGGAAGGGAGGAAGGGAAGGAGGAAGGAAGGAGAAAGGAAGGAGGAGGAAGGAAGGAGGAGGAAGGAGGAGGAAGGGAAGGAGGAGGATGGGAGGGAAGGAGGAGGGGTGTGTGGTGGTAGGAAAGGTGTGGGGCGTGGATAGTGATGAGTAGTTGGCTGGGGGTCGTGTGTGGGCGTTGAGATCGTGTGTGGGCGTAGAGATCGTGTGTGGTCGGGGGAGGTCTGTGTGGGCAGTGGGTCGCGTGTGGGCGGGGGTCGCGAACCTACAAGTGACCTCTGGCACAATTATCGACCTCACGTGACACACGAAGACTCGACCTCTGAGTCAATTATTCCGCCACTCGCGACACTCACACGGACACTCACACGGACACTCACACGGACACTCACATGGACATTCATACGGACGCTAACACGGGCACTCACGATACTCATACGGACACTCGCATAGTCATCTATCCTACAGTGACAGAAGATGACGCAGTGACGGAAGATGACTCAGTGACGGAAATTGGCTTAATGTGACGGAAGATGACGCAATGTGACGGCAGATGACGCAGTGTAACGGGGAGTATGCAGTACCAGGAACAAACTCCCCGGCATCGCGTGACCTGAGAGACTGTGACGCCCTGTGACGGTACCATAACACCCCCACCCCTCACCCCCACCCCTCAACCCCCCCCCTCTTTCCTGCGTACTCCCCCACCCCGACTGACTTATATGTGAGAGTTAGCTATTTCTGGCTTCACCCCTCCCTTATCTCCTCCTTCACACTTCCCTTCCCTCTCTCTCTATCCTCCTCTCTCTCCCCTTACCCCCAACTTCCTTCCCTTCCTCCCTCTCTTCCTCTTCTCCTTTTTCTTTTTCCCCTCTTACTTTCCCCCTCTCCTTCTCCCTCCCTGCTATCTCCTTCCCTATCCCTGCCTACCTCCTCCCTTCCCTGTCCCCAGCGTCCATTCGTCCGTGCGTCTATCCGTCCGTCTATCGTCCGTCCGTCTGTCTATCCATCCGTCAGTCCGTCCGTCCGTCCGTGCGTGTATCCGTCCGTCCGTCTGTCCGTCCATCCGTCCGTCCGTCGTCTATCCGTCCGTCCGTCTGTCCGTGCGTCTATCCGTCCGTCAATCCGTCCGTCCGTCGTCTGTCCGTCCGTCCGTCTGTCTATCCATCCACAACAACATCTGTGACAGCTCAATAATCGTTATTATTACTCCTATGTGCTGCCTGCTGCCTGGGTTATGACCTGCTGGAGCCTGTTGTGGTGCTGCCTGAGTTATGACCTGCTGGAGCCTGTTGTGGTGCTGCCTGAGTTATGACCTGCTGGAGCCTGTTGTGGTGCTGCCTGAGGTATGACCTGCTGGAGCCTGTTGTGGTGCTGCCTGGTACGACCTGCTGAGCCTGTTGTGTGCCAGTTATGACCTGCTGGAGCCTGTTGTGGTGCTGCCTGAGTTATGACCTGCTGGAGCCTGTTGTGGTGCTGCCTGAGTTATGACCTGCTGGAGCCTGTTGTGGTGCTGCCTAGTTTGACCTGCTGGAGCCTGTTGGTGCTGCCTGAGTTATGACCTGCTGGAGCCTGTTGTGGTGCTGCCTGAGCCTGCGCCTGGTGTGCCTGAGTTATGACCTGCTGGAGCCTGTTGTGGTGCTGCTGAGGTTATGACCTGCTGGAGCTGTTTGGTGCTGCCTGAGTTGACCTGCTGGAGCCTGTTGTGGTGCTGCCTGAGTATGACCTGCCGGAGCCTGTTGTGGTGCTGCCTGGTTATGACCTGCTGGAGCCTGTTGTGGTGCTGCTCTGACCTGCTGGAGCCTGTGTGGTGCTGCCTGGGTGCAGCCTGCTGGAGCCTGTTGTGTGCTGCTCCTGCCTGAGTTATGACCTGCTGGAGCCTGTTGTGGTGCTGCCTGATGCCCCCTGCTGAGTTTTGACCTGCTGGAGCCTGTTGTGGTGCTGCCTCTGCCTGAGTTATGACCTGCTGGAGCTGTGTGGTGCTGCCTGATGCCCCTGCTGTGAGTGCCCTGGACTTGTGGTGCTGCCCTGAGTTATGACCTGCTGGAGCCTGTTGTGGTGCTGCCTGGGTTATGACCTGCTGGAGCCTGTTGTGGTGCTGCCTGAGTTATGACCTGCTGGAGCCTGTTGTGGTGCTGCCTGAGGTTATGACCTGCTGGAGCCTGTTGTGGTGCTGCCTGCTGCTGAGTTATGACCTGTTGGAGCCTGTTGTGGTGCTGCATGCTGCCTCCTGGGGAGTTATGACCTGCTGGAGCCTGTTGTGGTGCTGCCTGCTGCCTGAGTTATGACCTGCTGGAGCCTGTTGGTGCTGCATGCTGCCTCCTGCTTGAGTTGTGACCTGCTGGAGCCTGTTGTGGTGCTGCATGCTGCCTCCCTGAGTTATGACCTGCTGGAGCCTGTTGTGGTGCTGCCTGCTGCTGGGTGCCTGACCTGTTGGAGCCTGTTGCGGTGCATGCTGCCTCCTGCTTGAGTTATGACCTGCTGGAGCCTGTTGTGGTGCTGCCTGCTGCCTGAGTTATGACCTGCTGGAGCCTGTTGTGGTGCTGCCTGCTGCCTGAGTTATGACCTGCTGGAGCCTGTTGTGGTGCTGCCTGCCCCCTGAGGTTGACCTGCTGGGACCTGTTGTGGTGCTGCCTGGGTGTGACCTGCTGGAGCCTGTTGTGGTGCTGCCTGAGTTACTGACCTGGAGCCTGTTGTGGTGCTCCTGAGTTATGACCTGCTGGAGCCTGTTGTGGTGTGCTGCCTGTTCTGATGCTGACCTGCTGGAGCCTGTTGTGGTGCTGCCTGCTGCTCCCTACTTGGTTATGACCTGCTGGAGCCTGTTGTGGTGCTGCCTGATGCCCCTGCCTGAGTTTTGACCTGCTGGAGCCTGTTGTGGTGCTGCCCTGCAGGTTGTGACCTGCTGGAGCCTGTTGTGGTGCTGCCTGAGGTGCTATGACCTGCTGGGCCTGTTGTGGTGCTGCCTGAGTTGACCTGCTGGAGCCTGTTGTGGTGCTGCCTGCCTGAGTTGTGACCTGCTGGAGCCTGTTGTGGTGCTGCCTGCCCCTGCCTGAAGTTGTGATCTGCTGGAGCCTGTTGTGGTGCTGCCTGCTGCCTGAGTTGTGACCTGCTGGGCCTGTTGTGGTGCTGCCTGCTGCCTTGCTTGAGTTATGACCTGCTGGAGCCTGTTGTGGTGCTGCCTGCTGCCCCTGCCTGAGTTGTGACCTGCTGGAGCCTGTGTGGTGCTGCCTTCCTGCTGAGTTGTGACCTGCTGGAGCCTGTTGTGGTGCTGCCTGCTGCTGGTTGTGACCTGCTGGAGCCTGTTGTGGTGCTGCCTGCTGCCTGGTTATGACCTGCTGGAGCCTGTTGTGGTGCTGCATGCTGCCTCTCCTTGAGTTGCCTGACCTGCTGGAGCCTGTTGTGGTGCTGCCTGCTGCCTGAGTTATGACCTGTTGGAGCCTGTTGTGGTGCTGCATGCTGCCTCCTGCTTGAGTTATGACCTGCTGGAGCCTGTTGTGGTGCTGCATGCTGCCTCCTGTGAGTTATGACCTGCTGGAGCCTGTTGTGGTGCTGCCTGCTGCCTGAGTTGATGACCTGCTGGAGCCTGTTGTGGTGCCTGCTGCCCTGAGTTATGACCTGCTGGAGCCTGTTGTGGTGCTGCCTGCTGCCTGAGTTATGACCTGCTGGAGCCTGTTGTGGTGCTGCCTGCTGCCTGAGTTGCGACCTGCTGGAGCCTGTTGTGGTGCCCTGCCCTGCCTGAGTTATGACCTGCTGGAGCCTGTTGTGGTGCCTGAGTCATGACCTGCTGGAGCCTGTTGTGGTGCTGCCTGAGTTATGACCTGCTGGAGCCTGTTGTGGTGCTGCCTGGGTGCATGACTGCTGGAGCCTGTTGGGGTGTTGCCTGCTACCTGTTGCCTGAGTTATGACCTGCTGGAGCCTGTTGTGGTGCTGCCTGCGCCTGAGTTATGACCTGCTGGAGCCTGTTGTGGTGCTGCCCTGCCTGAGTTTTGACGCCGGCTGGCTGGTGCTGCCCCTGCCTGAGTTGTGACCTGCTGGAGCCTGTTGTGGTGCTGCCTGGGTGACCTGGGGCCTGTTGTGGTGCTGCTGTGCCTGAGTTATGACCTGCTGGAGCCTGTTGTGGTGCTGCCTGCTGCCCCTGCCTGGTTATGACCTGCTGGAGCCTGTTGTGGTGCTGCCTGCTGCCCCTGCCTGAGTTGTGACCTGCTGGAGCCTGTTGTGGTGCTGCCTGCTGCCTGAGTTGTGACCTGCTGGAGCCTGTTGTGGTGCTGCCTGCTGCCGTGAGTTATGACCTGCTGGAGCCTGTTGTGGTGCTGCCTGCTGCCCCCTGCCTGAGTTGTGACCTGCTGGAGCCCGTTGTGGTGCTGCCTGCTGCCCCTGCCTGAGTTGTGACCTGCTGGAGCCTGTTGTGGTGCTGCCTGCTGCCTGGTTGTGACCTGCTGGAGCCTGTTGTGGTGCTGCCTGCTGCCCCCTGCTTGAGTTATGACCTGCTGGAGCCTGTTGTGGTGCTCCCTGCCCCTGGGTGACCTGCTGGAGCCTGTTGTGGCGCTGCCTGCTGCCTCCTGCGAGTTATGACCTGCTGGAGCCTGTGGGGTGTTGCCTGCCACCTGTTGCCTGAGTTATGACCTGCTGGAGCCTGTTTGGTGCTGCCTGCTGCCCCTGCCTGGTTGTGACCTGCTGGAGCCTGTTGTGGTGCTGCCTGCCCCCTGCCTGGTATGACCTGGAGCCTGTTGTGGTGCTGTCTTGTGCCTGGAGTTATGACCTGCTGGAGCCTGTTGTGGTGCTGCCTGCTGCCCTGCCTGAGTTATGACCTGCTGGAGCCTGTTGTGGTGCTGCCTGCTGCTGTGATGACCTGCTGGAGCCTGTTGTGGTGCTGCCTGCTGCCCCTGCCTGAGTTGTGACCTGCACCTGTTGTGGTGCTGCCTGCCCCTCTGCCTGGATTATGACCTGCTGGAGCCTGTTGTGGTGTTGCCTGCTACCTGTTGCCTGAGTTATGACCTGCTGGAGCCTGTTGTGGTGCTGCCCTACTGCCTCCTGTGAGTTGACCTGCTGGAGCCTGTGTTGCTGCCTGCCTGAGTTATGACCTGCTGGAGCCTGTTGTGGTGCTGCCTGCTGCCTCCTGCTTGAGTTATGACCTGCTGGAGCCTGTTGGGTGTTGCCTGCTGCCTGTTGCCTGAGTATGACCTGCTGGAGCCTGTTGTGGTGCTGCCCCTGCCCCTGTGAGTTATGACCTGCTGGAGCCTGTTGGGTGTTGCCTGCTCCTGTTGCCTGAGTTATGACCTGCTGGAGCCTGTTGTGGTGCTGCCTGCCTCCTGAGTTATGACCTGCTGGAGCCTGTTGTGGTGTTGCCTGCCCTGTTGCCTGAATTATGACCTGCTGGAGCCTGTTGGCCTGTTGTGGTGCCTGCCCCCTGTGATTATGACCTGCTGGAGCTGTTGTGGTGCTGCCTGCCACCTGGGTTGTGACCTGCTGGGCCTGTTGTGGTGCTGCCTGCTGCCCTCTGCCTGGTCTGACCTGCTGGAGCCTGTTGTGGTGTTGCCTGCTACCTGTTGCCTGAGTTGCGACCTGCTGGAGCCTGTTGTGGTGCTGCCTGCTGCCCTCTTCCCAATTATGACCTGCTGGAGCCTGTTGTGGTGTTGCCTGCTACCTGTTGCCTGAGTTATGACCTGCTGGAGCCTGTTGTGGTGCTGCCTGCTGCCCCTCTGCTGAGTTATGACCTGGAGCCTGTTGTGGTGCTGCCTGCTGCCTCTGCTGAAGTTATGACCTGCTGGAGCCTGTTGTGGTGCTGCCTGCCCCTGAGTTATGACCTGCTGGAGCCTGTTGTGGTGCTCCGCCTGAGTTATGTTCTGCCTGCTCCTGCTGCCTGTCCTTGTTGCAGGTTATGACCTGTTGAAAGCTGTTGTGGTGCTGCCTGCTGCCTGAGTTATGTTGCCTGAATAATGACCTATTAGACCGTGTTGGATGCAGGTGTTGTGCTGCCTGTCCCTGCTGCCTGCTGCTTTTTCTACTGATTTCTGCTTCTGCTTGACGTACATAACCTGATATTGGTTATTGTTTGGTCTGCTTTAAGAGCTTCCGTGACTCATTACCACCACCACCACCACAACTACCACTATTGTCACTACTACTACCACTATTATCACTACTACTACCACTATTATCACTACTACTACTACTACCACCACCACCACAACAACTACCACTGTTATCACTACTACTACCACCACCACAACTACCACTGTTATCATTACCACCACACCACCAACAACCACTATTGTCACCCACCACCACCACAACTACCACTAATATCACTACTACCACCACCAAAACTACCACATTATTACCACCACCACCACCACAACTACCAATAATATCACTTACTCTGCTACCACCCACCACAACCTACCAATTATCATTACCACCACCACCACCACCACCACTACCACTATTATCACCACTACACCACCACACAACCACCACTAACACCCACCACCACCACCACTATTATCACTACCACCACTACCACCACCACCACCACCCTACATCACTACCCACCACACAACTACACCAACACCTACCACTACCCACAACACCACCTAATATCACTACTACTACCACCACCACCACTATTATCACTACCACCATCACTACACCACAACTATATCACCACTACACACCACCACCCTATTATCACTCCACCACCACCACTATCCTACCACCACCACAACTACCACTAATATCACTACTACCACTAATATCACTACTACCACCACCACCACCACCACTATTATCATACCACCACACCACTATTATCACCACCACCACCACCACAACTACCACTATTATCACACTACCACCACCACCGCAACTACTAATTCCTACTACTACCACCACACCACTATTATCACTACCTACCACTACCACTATTATCACTACCACCACCACCCACACCACAACCACAATATCACTACTACTACCCACCCACCACCTCCTACCACCCACCACTACCACCACCACACACCACCACCACCACACCTCCTATCATCACTACCACCACCACCACCACAACTACCACTATTATCACCACTACCACCACTCAACTACACTAATATCACCACTACCACCACCAATTATCACTACCACCACCACCACCACTATTATCACCACCACCACCACCACAACTACACTAATATCCACTACTACCACCACCACCACCTCCACTACCACCACCACCTGTATCACCTACCACCACCACCACCACAACTACCACTAATATCCTACTACTACCACTAATATCACTACTACTACCACCACCACCACTATTATCACTACCACCACCACTATTATCACCACCACCACCACAACTACCATAACTTATCACCCTACCTACACCACTACCACTAATATCACTACTACCACCCACACCACCACCCAATACCACTACCACACTATTATCACTACCACCACCACCACCACAACTACCACTATTATCCTACTACTACCACCACACCACTATTATCTACCACCACCACAACTACCCTATATCACCCACCACACTAATATCACTACTACCACACCACTATTCTACCACAACACCACTATTATCACTACTACTACCACTACCACCACACAACTACCACTATTATCCTACTACTACCACCACTACACCACCCACCACCACCACCTAACTACCACTATTATCCTACCATCACCATTACCACTAATATCACTACCATCACCACTACCCTGTATCCTACTACCACTACCACCACCACTATTATCACTCCTACCCACCACAACCATAAATACCACTTTACTATTACTACCACTGCCACCACCACCACACTACCATTAATATCCTACCTACCACACCACTTACTCCTACCACCATAACTACCACTATTATTACTACTACTACTAACACCCCTATTATTACTACTACCTACACCACTACCTTACCTACTACCACTACCACTACCTACAACTACCAACACTTTAATACCACCTACCCCACCTACCCTACCTGTACCACTACTACCGCTACCACTATTACCACCACTACTATTACCACTATTATAAGTATCACTATCACCACCACTACCAATACTACTACTAATACTACCACTTCTGCATCACCACCACCATCACCACAGCTAAGAACATGAGAGTGCTCATTTTAATCTTCCCTCAAACCACACACACAGATAGATAGATAGATGGATAGATGGATGTTTTATTGACCACGAATTATGAATACAGAGTTTACACTAAAATTTTACATAAAATGGTTTAAATGAAAATGCTTTAAAACACCAAACATTAATAAAGTTCAATGATTCAACGAGTAACACAAAAAATAGAGGAAAACCACGAGTAAATAAAGTAAAAAAAATAACTACAAGTTAAATAAACTAAAACACACACACATATACAGTATATATATATATATATATATATATATATATATATATATATATATATATATATATATATATATATATATATATATATATATATATATATATATATTACAGTATCATAAGACATATAAACAAAGATATAAGCGTTACCACCGAGGTATATTTTGACGTATATTTAGATCCTACGTAGGAACCCCCCCGGTGAAGTAGGATATCCTGCTGTGTACACTGATATATGTGTAGGAGGGAGAGACGAGGGAACAGCCTGAATAATACACGGGGGATAATGTGGTGATCATCAACAGGACGGCAGTGTGTGCATTATATCATAGTACATTAAGATGTTAACACCCTCACCCGATCATGGTGCTCAGGAAACATTGATGGTCCGTCTGCCTTATTGAGGGTGATGGTGAGGGTGTGGTGAGGTGATGGTGAGGTGATGGTGAGGTGTTGGTGAGGTGTTGAGCTGTGGTGAGGGGGTGATGGTGAGGTGTTGGTGAGATGGTGAGGTGTAGTGAGGCTGACGGTGAGGTGATGGTGAGGGTGTTGGTGAGGTGTTGGTGAGGTGATGGTGAGGGTGTGGTGAGGTGTTGGTGAGGTGTGGTGAGGTGTTGGTGAGGTGTTGGTGAGGGTGTTGGTGAGGGTGATGGTGAGGTGATGGTGAGGGGTGTTGAAGGGGTGATGGTGATGGGTGTTGGTGAGGGTGATGGTGAGGGTGATGGTGGTGTTGGTGAGGGTGATGGTGAGGGGTGTTGGTGAGGGCTGACGGTGGGGTGATGGTGAGGGTGATGGTGAGGGTGATGGTGAGGGTGATGGTGAGGTGATGGTGGGGTGATGGTGGGGGTGTTGGTGAGGGTGTGGTGAGGGGGATGGTGGGGGTGATGGTGGTGGTGGTGGGGTGATGGTGAGGGGTGAGTGGTGAGGGGTGGTGGGGGTGATGGTGGGGTGTTGGTGAGGTGATGGTGAGGTGTTGGTGAGTTGGTGGGGTGTTGGTGGGGGTGTTGGTGGGGATGGTGGGGTGTTGGTGGGGGTGTTGGTGGGGTGATGGTGGGGGTGATGGTGAGGGGTGTTGGGGGTGATGGTGATGGGTGTTGGTGAGGGTGATGGTGAGGGTGGTGAGGGGTGTTGGTGGGGGTGATGGGTGAGGTGTTGGTGAGGGTGACGGTGAGGGTGATGGTGAGGGGTGATGGTGAGGGTGATGGTGAGGTGATGGTGAGGGGTGATGGTGGGGGTGATGGTGAGGTGTTAGTGAGGGGTGTGGTGGGTGATGGTGAGGTGATGGTGGGGTGTGATGGTGAGGGTGATGGTGGGGGTGATGGTGAGGGTGGTGAGGTGTGATGGTGAGGGGTGATGGTGAGGGGTGTTGGTGAGGGGTGTTGGTGAGGTGTGATGTTGAGGGTGTTGGTGAGGTGTTGGTGAGGGGTGTTGGTGAGGGGTGTTGGTGAGGGGTGAGGGTGTTGGTGAGGTGTGATGGTGAGGTGATGGGGAGGGGTGTTGGTGAGGGGTGCTGGAGGGCTGTTGGTGAGGGGTGTTAGTGAGGGTGTTGGTGAGGGGTGATGGTGAGGGGTGAGGTGAGGGTGATGGTGAGGTGTGATGGTGAGGCTGTTGGTGAGGGGTGTTAGTGAGGGTGTTGGTGAGGGGTGATGGTGAGGGTGATGGTGAGGTGTGATGGTGAGGTGATGGTGAGGGGTGTTGGTGAGGTGTGATGGTGAGGTGATGTTGAGAGGTGTTGGTGGAGGGGTGTTGGTGAGGGTTATGGTGAGGGGTGAATGTGAGGGTGATGGTGAGCTGTGATGGTGAGGGGGTGTTGGTGAGGGGTGTTGGTGAGGGGTGATGGGAGGGCTGTTGGTGAGGGGTGTTGGTGAGGGGTGATGGTGAGGGTGTTGGTGAGGAGTGTTGGTGGGTGTTGGTGAGGGGTATTGAAGGCTGACGGTGAGGGGGATGGTGAGGGGTGCTGGAGAGTGTGTTGGTGGAGGGGTGATGGTGAGGCTGTTGGTGAGGGCTGTTGAGGGGTGTTAGTGAGGGGTGTTGGTGAGGGGTGATGGGAGGCTGTTGGTGAGGGGTGATGGTGAGCTGTGATGGTGAGGGGTGTTGGTGAGGGTGTTGGTGAGGGGTGATGGTGAGGGGTGTTGGTGAGAGGTGTTGGTGAGGGGTGATGGTGAGGGCTGTTGGTGAGGGCTGTTGGTGAGGGGAGGGGTGATG